CTGCGCGGAAAGCTCTCGATGAGTCCATGATGGCAACCATGAATTCTCACGAACCATCGACATCAGTTCGGTCAAAAACATCTCGTTCGGCACGACAGCGTCCATCACAAGCAACTCCAACCAACAAGTAAATGAAGATTCTGTGATCAAGCGTAACCGGTATGTGGCGACTTGTAGTCGAATGGTCTCCACTGTGTATGTAATGGATTTGTGTTTGCAGTTAATCGTCGTTGAATGCCATCATTAAGTAGGCATCATATAAATGTTACCGTACACGATAAACAACAGCTGTTCTTTAGTGATGAGTGTGGCGTGGTGTATTGCTGAAAACGCTACAAATGCCATTGCTCGTGAAGTGAACCCTCACCTTTCGTGCGTGCGGACTCGCAATTTCAGACAAACTTTCCAAACAAGGTGAAACTGTTGACTTCGCGTTCCGCTGTCAAATCGCACGATTCACTAACGATTATTAGCGGACGTCATCATCTCTGTGAATAGTAAGTCTGTAAACTGAATCCGTTTATAACTACCACAACGTGATACGATCCTAAGTGCCATTCGATGACTAGTCAGTCACTTATTAGAGTATCACAAAGAGGAAAGGAGGGATACGTTCCCAAAGAGGTTTCTCGAACGCCGGAATGTTTTCTATGAACAAATAGAATGGCAGAACCAGGACAAAGTACAAATATAGTAGAAAACACACACGTAGCAACCCTACTTTTCCCATTGTACACAACTGTTAAGTTAATGGAACCTATGCTTGAATAAGTAAATCTATAAATATCGAAAGATAACAACTAACAGATATGAAAATAACAGTTAGCAGCTGATATCACTGCACCTAGCTATAAGGCAACTATTTTGATAGGCAAGGGACTAGGATAGCTGATGAGAAGGGAGCACACGTGGATACGGAACACCCTTAGAATTTTCTGTGCAAGAAGACAAAAATAAGACAAGCTAAACAAATTATTAGGGTACTATTACCTTCTGTGAAATAAAATTTAAATTGTAGATAAGCAGCGAAATTTAAACTTCCTGGGCTGCGAACTCATTCAACAAATCATCATGCGCGGCATCGACGTACTCAAGGAAAGGTTGTATGGCTAGAAGTTCTTCTTCGGAGGGATCGGTCGCCTTTTGGCAACGCCGGATTTCCTTAATGGTGATAATATTGAGTAATGGTGATAATAGAGATGAGTAAACGAAACAAAAAGTACAACATGTCGTACCTGCACAGAGCTGATATGATACTGGTACGAAAGAATCGCTTTACAGAGATTCCAGAAGCTGAATTCTGGCCATAAAACGTCATCAAAGTATATGTGGCAAGAAGAGCACTAAAACTCAAATGGGAATCAATGGAGGAACGCACATATTATCAAGTCACAAATTTCACCTGCCAAAGGAGGAAGTCGCTTAATCGTTTCTCTCCGCTCGTACGAATAAGCAAATTAGGTTCACTTCCGTGCCGACTATCCAGAACAACGTGAAATCAACCACTCCGATATCTGATTCTCTGCTACAAGTCCCTAAAAAATGAGCTAAGAACATGAAGTAAGATCATTGGAATTATTAAGGCCTGCAAGAGAAAACGAGTGTTTCTTCGAACATGTTCAATGGCCAAATACGGTACCTTCTCTCTACCCTTCCTAATCAGCTCAAAAGCACGAGCAATTTCATCTCTCGAGGTATACGGCATGCATACGTTCACTACACCACTGAAAATGAATCGAAGTTTGCTTCAAACCACATGGCGTTCACTTTCCAGTTTCTACAGACAAGATGTATTAATCTTCATGGTAAGCTCTTAATAAATGCCGGCAACTGTACCTTTCATAATCCTTCGTGAGAAGCTGAATCTGTGCTATATATTTGCGCAGTTTGGGTGGCAACATAGCAATATTGCCGAAAAATCGAAAGGAGATCTTTTTCTCCATCAACTTATCCCTAAACATCACACATTTTGAAATCTCATGTGAGAAGGGCCAAAATTCAAAAACCAGAGACTGAGACCGAGAAAATTTTAAAAAATACTTTTCGGCCAGGAGCTTCGCAAACTTCTCCTCGGCGAGCTTGCATCAATGCCATCCACTTCTCTGCAAGCTACGTTGAATTTTTTCGGATATGAACGCATAGGACAGTTCACTTCCCGACTCCTAATTCATGGCACCATTCAAAATCTGAGAGAATCATGCATATTTCGGGGAACCTTACATCCCGTGAAGTGCGGAAGGCAAAGAGAGTAGAAATTTTGAACAAACCTTTGCAAGTTGATGGAACCCTTTTTCGTGGCCATGAATAACTGGGCCAAGTTGATGAGTTTTTGCAAATCGTCGATTTCCATCCATCACAAACGCCACGTGGCGTGGGAACATGAAATGAAGAACAGTATGACTATGAATTTCTGGAACTGCGCAAGTATTATCCTAATGCGCGGTTGATATTTCTTGTTTCAGTCATAATCCTATGCAGTAAGGCGTGAATCTTATAATGGCATGGAGCACTGCTTACCACGCGCACAGTTGGGAAATAAATTATTGCACCATACACCGTCAGTTCAACCCAAATTTCCATCCTTTCGGTGTCGCTTAACACACTGATGACCGCATGACGCGCATGCGCGTCAAATTTCGCGCGCAGATGAGCACCGTTTTTTCTCGATTTGCTTGGTATTTTTTTTGTTAGGAAAGTTGCCTGTTACACTATTGGATCCATATAATACTATACCCATATGAGTAACGAAATTAATTGAAGGGAGTAGTTGGCTGGTTTAAAATATAGAAGAAAATGGATACGGAGACACGTCAATGTGTTAATTGTGAACAGACATGTCCAGAAGGATACAAAGACCGACTTCTACAACGGCCGGTCCACAACCATTGTGCGGTCCAAATCGATATAGAATTAGGGTGTAACGCGTGGCGCATCTCAAAGAGGGTTGCCTTGACCATGCGGTCAATCTCAACAGAAGTAAAATAGTTTGTGAAAAAGTGCGCAGTTGAAAAAGACCTCCGAAAACTAGCGTTCGTACGCTGCTGTTTTCCATGTAGGTTGAACTTGTGTTATTGCATCGTTTGTGTCAAGAGATTCCATGAACAATTCGTGCCAAAAAATGATTATAATGTACTCACTGGTCCTGACTTCACGAATGGCTTTGGCGATCGGATGCCACCATGCTCTCTCACTGAGAGTTGTATTCCACCATTCTGACTGGGGGGCGGGGGGGGGGGGGGGGGGTTACCTCTTCTCTTACATCGCCATCAGCCACCATTTCATAACCTAAGCGACAACTTTCAATAAAATTTCGAACCAAGAACGCAATTCATCGTAAAGTAGAGCAATGGGGCTGTCGAAAAACAAGAAAAAAAGAACGCATCGAGGTGCAAAACACTCAATCATTCGAAACCACAACAATCCCATGCTCGTACTTGCCTGGTCCCCTTTTGGTACAAGTAAAATGGCCTTGCTGGGACGAAGAATCGCAGCGCGATGCTTCCGCCACTTGACTGCACTATGCCAGCCTTTTTATAGATACGGAGAAAAAGGAATCCTGAGTTCAGAAGAACCAATCTATGTACAATGAACAGAAATGATTCGGAAGCAAAGGGCAACAATGACGTGAAATCCAGTGTGTTAGATGTAGCTGGCCAAGGTGACGTCACATTTCGTGCATTGGGGTGCATTACAACGACTACGTTTCATTTTACGCTTCTTTCGCAACTGTGGGAATCCCCGTTGAGCATGGTAGCTTCCGTCTTGCTGCTTCGCTACCTCAGTATCGGCGTCCACCAAGTGTGATGACTGAAACTGCGCCTCGTCTTGCACTCTAGAAATGCCGGTTAGTTGTGGTCATTCTCGTCATTTATATTTTACTTCAGTCCTACGTCTTTAAGGGTCACAATTGCGTATAATAAGCGGACGAGCTAATTTCCCAGCGGCGTTTTATTGAGGTGCCCTAAGCTTTGTTTGAGAGGACCACGGTATGCCGGCGCTCTGGTCATCTGCACCCATGGTGAGCTAGTCCGAGGTGCACTGAAGTTCAGGATGATAACCATGCGGCATGCTACAGACCTCACCAGGAAGGTCTTTCAGGGCGTGACGAGCTTTTTGAAAACGGTCTTTTGCATGATATAGGGGCAGATGCGGGGACCACAGAACCATGTTTAATTTTTCCTGAACGGCCCTCTGAATACCAGAAAAGGGGGTCCCTAGTCACAACTTCGTATAATGTATCGACATCTGCCCTGATCTTCATGCCAAAAGACCGTTTTCAAAAAGCGGTCGTCAGCCCTGAAACCTTCCTGGTTAGCTTTCTGTGCGCGTGAGATGGGCTTTCCGCATGCAAGAACTGGGCTACTATACTGCTAATGGTTCATTAGGCCTTGTTAGTGTGTGCCGATCGTATGTTTCGTTGATTGTACGCTCAGTTCACGACGTAGCTCTAGCGTTGGAGGGCTCAAGTCGGTGGCCATCTTTCATTTCCCCGAGCCTCCTCTCCGAAATAAGGTTGAGGGCGGGGGAGGGAGAGGGACTACCGCGGCCGCTGTCTCAAGCGCATGGCACTAAGTATGGACCTGAGCCTAGGAAGGAGTGCATATACTGTGAACAGTGTGGTTTGTGATTTTACAGAAACCAAATTTTGACACTTTTGAGCTTCCTTCCTAGACTCTGGTTTAGTGCTATCACGCTTGGGAGACCGCTCCGCCGCGTGGTCCCTCTCCCCACAATTCATGTAGCACCTTTATTCCGTTTTTGTTCCACAAATCTTCACACAAAAGCGCGTGGTTGTGAAGTATCGGTAACAGGTCTCACACACGCAAACCATGCCAGTCTCAGGCCGATGTCATAGTTTGCGAATCGAACGTTGCGCCAGCGAGTCGAACGATGTACCAGCGAGTCGAACTAGGTACCAGCGACTCAATAGTGGCGGGACCCAACGTTTAAAGGAAGCCCGCCACTTTCAAACAGTGTCCACTGCAAGTCTCCACTTTTCAAACAGCGTCCACTGTCACGTGACACTGTTTTAAAAACTGGCCTCGTACATAGTTGACTCGTTGCGTTGCAAATTTGATTGCTAGGGTGCAACGTTTATTTCTTTTTGCGAATCGCGCGATTCGCTACTAGCGATTCGCGATTCGCTAGCGTCCGCGGTCGCGTTGCGGTACCAGCCAATTGAGTGATTCACTGGCCGCGACGCGACCGCAGACGCTAGCGAATCGCGCGATTCGCAAAGTCTGACATCGGCCTACACGGACGAAGCAACCTGCGATTTGTCCGCTGTGTTGAGGCGGCATTTTGTTTGGCGGCTGTTCTCGGTTGTGACGCTAATATTTTTGGAAACACGGTATGCATTTTGGCTTTGTTGTTTTCATATGTTTTCGCGTTAGACAGATCATTTAGAGACAGACACCCCAGATCAAATTTTAGGCGTCTTTGACAATTGGACAAAAGATAAAGAGACAGTAAAGAAAACGTCGATAAGGCCTAAACAAAGACTATTCTCAAAAATTGGGAAGGGCGGGGCCAGACGAGTTGTACGAACTTGCCTGTTCCACGGCTCAGCTATTCGTGCGTATTTACATTAGCCACTACGTCGTTGCGTGTCATGGGATGTCACTCGTTCAAATGCTAAGATTAGTCGCTAAGCGCTGACTTGTAAGACCCTAGCACCATTGACGTGCACTTCTGAGCCGCCACAACGACATACTCGTGCTACTCGTGTGCAATCGTTCCCACCCACTCAATAGATTCCTCGACACGACTTCTGCTGGGGGTGTTGTTCGCTTCAATCTTCGTACCCAGGTTGGTCTGCAGTGCAGATCTAGTGGCATAAGCGTGGCAATAAATCGCGTCAAAAAAGGTGTAATTTCTGATGCTATCGATTATTTCATGCCATGTCATTGTGCTAAGTCTGCGCTGTAGTCTACACCTGGTATATGCTGTAGGTCGATGTCAGACTTTGCGAATCCAGCGAATCGTTGGATTCGCAAAGTCTGACATCGGCCGCAAGTGGATGATGTCGGTACATTGGAGGAGTTTTTGCAGATTCCAACAGAGAGACGTGATTCTTTATCTGGGAGTGGTTCCACAGTTGAAGATTTATCTAGTGGGAACGCTCCTGCTTTGGTCGATGATGCAGACATCCGACTAGGTAGGATATTCAAAAAAGTGTTTTCAGTCGCCTTGGGCTCTTATTCGAGGAAAGGTGAAGCGTTATTATAAGAAAACAAACGCCTTTCGTTGGGGGCGAGTTGTTAGTTTTTTACTCTGATGCATTTCAGAAAACAGGTGGAAATCCAGTTCGGGGAGGGGGATACTACATTGTGTTCTCTAACACTTAGGGCCGGTTTCAGAGTCAGCGATCCGTCGCAGGGTCCGCTGATTTTCTCGATTTTTGCGCGATTCACGCGAATTACGCGACGTGTCACAGAAATCACAAGTGCCCGATGAATAACAAAAAAAAAATAAAAAAGTACTGCGATAGTGTCCTTCAATCCGCCGCCACTTTCTTGCTTGATAATGATGGCTGAATGACGACTGCTCATGATTCCACTTGTTTCATATTCAGTGTTTCAAATGTTCAAATGGGGCACTTGCAATTTTTTATTCAAAAAAGTGTTTTCAGTCGCCTTGGGCTCTTATTCGAGGAAAGGTGAAGCGGTAGAGAAAACGAACCTCTCATTGCGGGTGCAGCTTGTAGTTTTTACTCTGAAGCATTCAAGAAAAACAGGTCGAAATCCAGTTCGGGGAGGGGGGATACTACATTGTGTTCTCTAACACTTAAGGCCGGTTTCAGAGTCAGCGATCCGTCGCAGGGTTTCGCGCAAATCGCGAAAATCAGCGAAACCTGCGAGGGATCGCGGGCTCTGACACCAGCCTTAAGATAAAATGAGAGCGTTCTGAGGCGTATTCTGACTGACTCTGACTGACCGAATTTATCTTATTCAAACTACACTACTGATAAGTACCGATGTGGTGTGGAAGTAACCTCGAGGGGCTACCACGGTTTGGTTTGGGTTGGTCCAAGGAAACGGTCCTGAATCAGGGGAATGAAGATCTTTGCTTGGGCTTAAGGGTGGTGGAGGAAATGTAGAGTGGATGACTTGGTGCAGATCATTGGATAGAATGTTGACAGGTTGTGTGCAATGAAGGACATCCACCGGCTTTTATAGCTTAAAGGACTAAAGGAGTGCATTTTAGGATTTAGTATAAGATAGCAAGAGGTGCCCCTTTCCCATCTCCCCGACTGGATTCTCATCAATAAGACAGATTATCATTAATTATTCATTTACGGCTTCTCCGTTTTCTGAACTGCATGAGATAGAAACAAAGATCAAATAGTTTTTTGACGTGCTAGGCTAGATATAAGAGCAATGCTGCTTTTGGAGCATAGTGTAGGCATAGTGTAGGCCGTTGAAAATTGTGCCTTAATCCTTACGAAAACTAGATAATTCAAACCAGTTTGTTTAGCACTAAATCTCAACATCTGTCCGGAATGTCATAAAGACACAGGAAGGCACCTTTATGACCACTTGTTCACCGTGCACGGATACTCGAAATATGATGTCGAGAAAGCGAAACAACAAAAACGCAGATGGAAGTTATTTTCGACAGCCAGTCCCTCTTACATTTGCAACGTATGCAATCTTCCCTATAAAACGAGGAGAGCTCTTCTACAGCACAGAAAGGAGAAGGAACATTACAGCGAAGATGGGGAAACGTTACAGCTGATTTTATGCCCCTTATGCGATGAACATGTTCAGGTGCGTTCACGACTTCCCCATTTTAACTCTAAAACATAATAGCTAATTGGTTCGGATACGAGTGGGAGGCGAATATGCCACGTTCATACTCTCTTTTTTCCAGGATCAAGAAGAGCTAATGAATCACGTCAGCCATGAA